GTTTGAGTAACAGGGAGTTACTTGTAAAAATCCTTGAATTTCATGAGTTAGTGCACCTACTGTATGTTCCGTTTTTGCTCTGGAGCTAACTGTAGAGCTCACGCAGGCACACATATATGTTCATTTACCAGATCAGTGAACCCCACACTATCATCATATTCCCGATTGCAACCGATAAAACAACGGGAACATGTCTCAGCGGTGGAAGTTTACACTCCATGGCAAATGGGTAGCAGGTCTGAATCTCGGGTGATCCACACCTGAGTTTGTGTAGAGTTGGCTGATGATGGCTAATAAGGCAGAAATTTCAATTTCAGTCTCCCTTGTCTTTGCCGGGTTCACTTTATTAGCTATGTGTATGAACAACTCTACGGGTCCCAAACAGATCTGCGATTTCCAGCCGCCTTACTGAGGCGGTTCTGCAAGAACTCAGTATTCGGGTTTTCATTCCTACGAGTCAAAATTCAGCTGGATATGCTAGGTAGGCAATCTCTTTCTACATTGTGATCCAAAAGAGACTTTTACCAAAGAAACGAACTAGGTTTTTCTTCAAATTCAAGTCACAACGATGTCTTTCGAAAAGCGATAAGCATATTTAAAATCATCTGCCACAATAGCAACCAGTCTCCATGTTGCATAAGCCCAGCTGCGTACGAACACATTTTCACCACATCAACACTAACAGCAGTAGTTCAGAAGCCGAGAACCTGAAAAAGTGCAATTCACTTTAACGACCGTTATTTCTCCTGAATGGATACCCTTTCAGCTTCATAATCACAGGCTTACATAAAAGACACACGAAGACTAACGGCAAGCAAGAACAACAGCCTGAAATGTTTCTTGCCTTGCGGTACACATGCTGAGGCCCCTCAACATGGACCATGGATATCGGTCGGAGGCCACTATTCGTCGCCTGACCGTACAGCCCAGGAGTCGTGTGCAGCCTGTGGAAACCAGAGTGGTCATTTCTAGTTTATCAGCCGTCGTCTTACCTAACTCCAGTTAACTTGAGGAAACGATTTTTCGGATTTACTCTGCCTTCTTCCGCCATTCATTGCCCTTATCATAATTTGACGCCTGGAAGACAAGCAGGTGCTATCAGCACAGATGTTTCTCTGAAGTTTTCCATAAAATGCGTTAAAAGCACTTAATCAACCCGAAGCCTAACAGCAGTTTAGCACATGGTAATCTGCCCCAGTGAAAATGTAATTTACAGATTTTTATTTGGCCATTGACTGACGCATTTTAGATGCTCCTATTCCACTATAGGGCATTATTTGAAGGACAATTTGGTGCCAATAATCCATTTTAGTTTTAAAAAATGAATTTTTGTGATAACTCACTTCATCGGGTCGGTCAGAAGAAATGAAAATTTAAATTTTGTCTCCAAAATGTTTATCCAGATACCATATGATCAGCTCTCCTTCAAAAGCATTCGCTGTAGGCATTGTATTTTTCTAGTAAAATGTGTTGCTTGGATGTGGAGATCCTTGTAACATTACACCCAAAGAGTAAATAAGACATTCATAATGGGTGATATAGTGTTTACTGCAATGGTCACTGCTTGTCCGAAAAGTTAGTGTTGTTTAAAATTAGACTCACTTATTTTTACCTTTCAAGCAGGAATCGTATGCAAAGTAGAGACCACTTTCTAACGACTGAGTTTTATGCGGATCCCGTGCATAAAGCACTTAAAAAAATTGAGATATACGAGTTAATTATAGGCTTGTCCATTCGTTCTATTCCCACAGAAAACAGAGCCCAAGAGCGGAATCGACCCATCCGCAGCCGCGAACTCCTCTACAAATAACCAACACTCCACCACTGCCACCACTGCTAACTTACATTGGACTTCCCACAAGGTGGAATCAGACGCAAAGGTCCAGGAAAACACTCAAACCGACTCTCCTGCCAACGGTGTAAGAAAAGCCCGCAAGGGTCACATGTGTCCCAGGTGCAATTACTGCGCCAAGTGGCCCACGGAACTGCAAAAGCATGTCGTAGTGCATGCCACCATCCGGCCTTTCGCCTGCATGATTTGTGGTAACCGCTACAAGTGGAGTTGGGATCTGGGACGCCACTTCTCCGCCGTGCATACCTCGTTACCGAACCCCTACAAATTCAGTCGCAGCATCAAAAAACACAGTCTGTAGGCCACCGCATAAGGTCTTCTGCTTCGAAATCCTCTCCAGTAATTTTGCTAAGAGTCTAACAGAACACTTTCAGTCTACCTCATTTTTCGCCTCATTCCTTTATCCAGTCTTTTTCGCTTCTCTGTTGAGAAGAACTATGTCTTTCAATACATTTTTTATCCGTCTCGTCGGTGTTTTTCTAAGTAACCCAGGGTGCCGTTTGCCGGATGTATCAACATAGTTGCCTTGCCTTAAGACTGTCCTGCGTTTTATAAACTGAGTATCAATAAACAAGAAAGGTTGCACCTAAGGAATGTAAGGGGCTTTTCAAGTTGTGCAAAGCTCCTTGTACGGGGCAGAATTGTTTGTAATTCTTTAGATTAAAGTATTCTACGACCCTCTTGCTGTTGGCCACGAGTACTTCTCAGGCATTTGGGACAAAATACATTAAGTATAATTCGGCATTGTATGTAGAAGAGAACGGTTGCTTCTAACTGAAAAACGGACTGGTGGCAGCAAGAAAACCGGAGTGAAATAAGAAAACCTTCCCAGGAGAGAATTAAAATGCAAACGGGAGTTAGGCCAGTCACGCCTCTTTTCCCTTAAAGTATAATGGGATACAAAAGGAATTTATGCGTCTATAATTACTCTAAAAATATCGTTTGTGTAACTTTTTGAAAGCTCCCTTCCCTGCTTGACGACACTTGCTCAGACTATCACTGCAGAGCTCAGGAATATCAGTTGATCCCTACACTTTGGCTTTTTGATACAGAAAGTGGGGAAGGTAAATAGTTCCGATGGCAGTGTAAGTCACGCTATTCCGTTAGAACGACAGACTGATTAGTTTTGGCTAAGGGGGTTTCCATAACCTGCCGTTGCCCCAGAAAGCTAATTGTTTTAAGTAGAGATTGACTGTCCACTTTCCTGCTATCACGGCAACATTTGACTCACTCGACAGGAGATTTCGCCGAATGATCCTGATGGCGTAACGTCCGGGCTTGCTCATTAGGAAGTATGAACTTACGCAAACAAACTTTCGCTGATATGGATAAGAGAACGCGTACTTCATTGCCAATGTTGCATCCACCAAAGTTGTTCCATCTTAGAGCTCTCCTCGACAGTGCAACGAAAGCAGTTTTAGACGCGCCATTCTGAAATCAGGAAAGATTTCAATCTAGTCAAAACGTCCTGGTGCTGGACATTGACTGTACTCATGAAGCAACTCGCTTTAAGAGGTCGTTTAGAAGAATCACTGGCCATCCATGACTGCATATCCGGCGATTCGACTACATTTACATTAAAAACTGAACCCATTGAAAACTAAAGAACACTTTTCGGGAGCGGTCATCAGTTGCGACCACTCCAGTGCGTTACTCTCCAACGCACTGGAGTGGTCGCAACTGATGAGCGCTCCCGAAATGTTATGGATCCATTAAATCTTGCACTGATTACTATCTTTAAATTTTCACCAGGGAAATTATGCTTTAAAGTAGCACTCTCCAGCTTCACGCGGCAATAATTTGGTCTCTGGAGGGCGAAAGACGAGCCAATGTCAGGTGCAATTAAGCCATTACATGAAGTTTGCACAGGGCATATCCTGTCATCTGTGGATGCCACCTGAGATCTCTCAACTAGATTCCATATGGCCATGATTCAAGCGAATGAAATTGTAGTCAAAACCTTCTCGCTCCATGACTAATAAACGCGGCGTCTGTAAACTGATGACATGGAAATTCGTCAGATCTCCATCGGGAATGAAGCATCATTTGGATCCGGGCTTCCGGGAATGTGGTAATCGGTAGGAGTTTTGTACCTCGCAGTTTCTTAGCTTTCTTAGACCTTTAGACTAATACCGGAGCTAGTATCTGCGGCTGTTTCAAATAAGAACTTCACTAAAATCCTTTAACTGAGTCACTGACGTCGTGAAATTAATCACGTCAATGTCATCTTCGGATTTCATTGGCTGTTAACTGTGTGTTAGGACTTGACCCTTTTGTTTCCAGTCGAATGCACACTGGTGTTAAA